GCTCCCTGCGGCTCCTGGGCCTGTCCACGTCTGCTCTCCAGAGTGTCCTGACACTCACAGATGAGAGAGGAGGAGTGGAGTGGGGGGCACTCAGCCTAACGCCCCACTGGCACGCATGCTGGAGACGGCATTTATCTGTTGTGCTCCTCTGCAGAGCTGCACAGGGAGCAAGGAAGAGCCTGTCAGAGGGAGGGAGCCTGCGTGTGAGGCTGCTGTGCCACGCCAGCCTGCCTTTGTCTGCCATCTCCTCTTCCTTTGGAGAGGCCGGCATGGCTTGGGATGGGAGCTGGGAGCTTTCCCAGCAGCCCACGTCTGCAGTTAGCTGGTGAGGATGGAGTGGGAGTGCGGGCAGCCACCCCTGTCTCATTTGTGCTGCAGGAAGGAGCAGCCAGGGGAATTTGAATGAGGCTGAGAAAAGAACGGAAGAGAGAGTAAGCGTGTGTGGAAAGGATTTGGAGGGAAGATACTGGAAAGCAGAGCCAGTGCTTATGCCCTGAGCTAAGAAGTTGCTGAAGAAGCGGGACAAGTAAGGAGAGAGTGGCAGGAGGGAATAGCAATGCTGGGAAGCTGGATTCCTGCAGAGGAGTTCTTTTGGTCTGATCAGCTTGTTGGGTAATCTGCCCGATTTTAATGTACGTTTTCCTAGCTGGTGTTTGCAACAACTTTTTCTTTCTTATTTTTCCCTCAAACAAGCATGCACAGCTGCTTAAGGTGCAGGTGGTTGTGAGACCACGTGCTTGGCTCCTCAGGTCACATCAAGTCCCAGCGCAGGTAGGTTATCCTGGCCTTGTGAATATGTGGTGCAGTTTGTTGAGCAGGACTGAAACATTAACTATTGACAGGTGTGTTTATTAATATCCTTTGGCTTTATTATGGCTGTTAGCTGATATGGACCTGGCTTAAACATCATTCAGTCTGAAAACAACATCCTTTTTTCCTTTAATAGCCTACATAAACAGAAAACGTAGATGTGGTGGTGTCATACTTTGGACCCCTCTGCTGTGACAGCGTCCCAGCTGGGATGGGAGCAGGAGGCAGGGGTACTGTGGCATCCTGCTTTTCTCTCTGAGGCTCTTGGTGTGTGTTCCTGGACCATAAGCCGGCTCAGCTGGTCACAGTGGGACAAGCAGTCCCTAAGTATCACGAGCCAGCTCAAATGATAAGACGGGGCACTGTGCAGATGATTCCTACCAACAGAATGTGATGGTGAGGAATGAGAAAGGGCAGACCTAGTTTGCAGGTCCCGGAGGCTTGATGACTAAGTACATATGGACATGTGAGCGTGCTCTCCCTTGGTTGCTAATACTGCTTACAAGTGACAGAGGAAAGGGACAGGTTGCACACTCTGCATGCAAATACATATGTCCCACGCAGGGCTGATTTTGCCCTTTGTGAGGTTTTTTTAGTGAACTCATTCTGCAAGAACATTTTTCCCTCTGCAGTCTGTGTGATATTCACAGCCAGCTGGTAGAAATTGTCGGTTTGTTTGTTTGTTTCCCTTCCCATCCCCTTCCTCTGATTATTGGAAATGAAAGGAGGTGAAGGCAGAGATGAGGCTGTGCATTGCTCTGTGCTCTTGTTCTGGCCCTACTGGCAGCATCCTGAGCCTGGTGATGAATGAGCTTGTTGCATGAGATCCTCCACTGAGGCTTCAGCATCTCTAATAAGGTGGCCAGCGTTTCACTGTCCTCTGTGCCTGTTTCTGCTTTATTAACTGCACCGCAGCAATATTAAGCTGCAGCACTGGGCCAGTGTGATCAGAAGGAGGAAGGAGGCTTGGGAGGGGGTGGAGGGAAGAAGATATACCAGGGTAGCATGAGAGAAGAGCACGCACGGAGCAGGAGAACAAGGGCAGCAGCGGGTGATTGAAGTGGAGGATTAAAAAATGTGTTCCTGCTGGACTGATGCATGCATCTCTGCACAGATCTGGTGTTGGAAAACAAGGAGGCAAAGGATGTTTAGGGAGGGGGAGGCAGAGACAGACCTTGGCCTTAATGTCTCTCTCTGCTGGACCTGTGCTAGTGGCTGCAAACCAGCATCTGCTCTGTGTGCACAGAGCAAGCGGCTGGCTAGAGCTGTCACCTTTTTCTCCCTTGTATAATTTTATGCCCTTTAAACTGTGCTGGCAATGCATCTAGCCCTCTCTCCTGATGGCTGCAGCTAGTGCAGTGGAGACATTTGGCCCATGCTGCTTTTCACCTAGAAGAGCCAGTCTTGCCGAAGACATCCCAGGCTAGTTCTGTTGGCGTGCCAGGACTGCAGGGACTGTAGTAAAGGTGTGCGGAGGGCAGCCTTGCTGGCAACCAGTTGCTGTGTCTGTCCAAGTTGCAGGTTGAATAGAGACAGGACACAAGCTAAGGGAAGAGTTGGGTCCAGAGTATTTAGTGGAGGGAAAAGACCCTCGCAAAAGCTTTCCCCTGTGCTCCAAGAGGAGGTATGTGCTCGGTCCTGGCTGTGCCTTTCCCATTACCTAGCGATCCAGGTTTCTCCTGGCAAGCAGGACGCTCATGACCCATGGGGACATATGTGCCTTTCTTGATTTCTGTTTCACAGCCAAACCTGGGTGGCAGCCAGGTATTTATTTTGTTAAACCCACGTACCCTTGAGGATAGACTCAACTGGGGGATCTAAAACTTTGCAGTCCAGACTGAAGGCTGATTTCTCGTTTTGTCCTACATGAGGTGATGTGGGAGAGTAAGTGATTTGACATTGCTCCCAGAGGCTTTAGATACCCAAATTCCACCTAAGTCCCAGCTGAGGTGGAATTTGCACTGTCTGAATCTCACCCTCAGGCTTCTCTCCAACTCTCCATTTTGTTTCTCTTCTAAAGGTTATGTCTGGACGAGGGAAATGGCTTCTGACCTCCTCCTATTTGCTGGCTGCCTTCCCAGCACCCCAGCTTATGGCAGTCTGCAGGGTGGAGCTGCCACCCGCCCCCCCAGTCAGGCTCCGCTTCCCAAAAAGCCCGGTGCCAGGAGCCGTACCACTCCAGCCTCCTGCTTCTGGCTTGTGACCCTTCTCCTCCCAGATAATTTGGTTTCTGGTGCTAATGATCCCAAGTGAGATTGCTGCCGCTGGGAGCCAGCTCTGCTCTTGCTTGGCAGAGGGAGGGTGCGGAGGGCTGGCAGACGGGAGGGCTGAGCGGTACGCGTGCCAGTTGGATCAGCAGCCAGCTTGCATGCGTGCAGATGGGGTGGTGTTGATACGAATGGATCCTGGCAGCATCCCGGTGCCAAGTTCATGCTTGGTTCCCAGAGGCATTGACCTGGTTCTGCCCACTGGGACTGCTCCAAGGTGCCTTGTGGAAAGGCACCAAGCTGGGGGAAGGTACTGGAGCAGTTCCTGGCCCTTTGACTCATTTTGCTTGGGGAAGGATGAGGAGGAAGCTGCACAAAGCAGTTCCTCAAACAGCTTGCACCCTGATCTGTTTGGGTACAAAGGTCTCTTCTAGGTACAATCTATAAGGTGGGTACAAAGGTCTCTTTTCAGTACAATCTATAAGGTAGGTACAAAGTTGTTGTTCACTGTGAGAACCGCATGCAGCCACAGGTTCCCAGGGACCAGTTGCTGCCCTGACAGAGTACCGTGGCAGGATCTGGACCAGCCTTGCCCCTTCACTTGGGAGCACGGTCCAAACACAGTGGACAGATCAACCCAGGTGTCGAGGTGGGTCATTAAGTGCTGGCCATGTTGGAAATGAGCAGGGCTCTTGCATGAGAAGCTCTCCAGTGGCAGCCATTGCTTCTGAGTACGAACCTAAAGTTATGTACGTTAGGGCTGGAGGCAGGCAGAGGAGCGATTGCACACGCTTGTTTTTACCAAGCGTCACATCTGCATTGCTCCCCCCGCCCTGCCTTGCTGATGGCCTTCGCTCCTGCTGTGTCCTCACTCCATCTTCTTTCCCAACACTCTCCACACTGACAAATTGCTGTAAACCTTCCTCCCTGCATTCCTGCTCCAGTAATCCTGTAACTTCAGAGTTAATGACAAACACTGAGCCTGCCTATCAGGCGAATTGCCTTTGAGATGAAACCTGTCAGCCCAGAGGATATATCAGAGGCAGGGGAAGGCTTAGTGTCTGGGACAGTGAACACTGGGCCATGGAAAGCCCTGCCAAAGGTCTTTTTACCAGGAACAGCATCCCCAGTAGTGTATTTTGCCACAAGGATCCAGGCGCTGTACAGCAACAGGCAGGAAATTGTATCTTCACAGTGCAATCCTTGTTCTTGTCCTTCCCCCGCCAAACAAGCATGACTGTGGCAGGGAAGTTTCACTGACATGTAATTCATCATTTTTAGTGGTGGTGATGTTGACAGTGATACTTTCCCCATTGTTTCCTTGAAACTTCCCTGCTGCCTTAGCAAATGGAACAATGTTCAGCTGGTATGGTTCAGCTCCTTCTTCAGTGGGTGTCAGAGAGAGGGAGCCTATGAATGACTCCAGACCTTGAACAAGACCCCTTGCTCTGGTCTGCAGAGGCAGCGTGGGCTGGGATTCAAGGGTGGATCCTGTGGAAGGGTGCTGAGGAAGCATGGCAGTAGGCAGGTCCCAGCCAAGGCATCCAAATGAAATGCCACAGGCGCCAGGCAGCAAATGAATGAATTCTGCAGCAGCGATTGTGAACTGATCGGTATCTTGGCAAAATGCCATGCCGTGTGTGCACAGGACCTCAGTGCAGTAATAGAGGTGAGTTGGGTTCTTTCCTTCCCTCTTGGAGACATTGGTTCCAACACAGAGTTGCTCCAGAACCTGTAGTTCAAGTTGTCCCCCCAGTACAGAGAACCCCAAGGCTTCTCTTCAGGGAGAGCTCAGGCTCCTGATCACTGTTCTGTACCAGGGGTGGGAATTTTCAAACCAGTTCTGCATAGAGATCTCATTGATAAACCAGGTGTACTTGTCTATATAGGAAGAGGAGGCACAGGGTGTTAGATGGTGGATAGGATCCCTCAGGTTTCCAGTTTCAGGATTTTTGTAACACTGTGGGTTCTTTTTGTATGCAGCTGGCTCAGAGAAACACCATCCAAACCTTCATTCCTGTGCAGAAAATGGAGAAAGGCCTATTGTTGGAACACATCTTGCCCAACCTGAAAGTGCCTCAGAGTTATGAAGTTCGTCTGACGCCCATCACCAGCTTTGGGGCTGGAGATATGGCTGCCCGCATCATCCGGTACATGGAACGTAGGTGTCTCCTCCTCGGTCCTGGCTACGAGAGCAGGTCCGAGGCTCAGGCCTAGGGACATGGGCTTATGTAGATGTTGTCTTCTGTGAGCCTTGGGTGGATGTGTCTGCTCTACGGAGTTTTGGTGGCGTGGTGCTATCATATTTGGCTGTATTTTTGCTGTTGCCATCAATACAGACCACTAGATAGAGACCTCTGAGGGCAAGTCTCCACTCATCCTTCACTCATCTGCTCTGACTTGCACTCTCTGCTCTGTGGGCAGGAGAGCCCCAAAACCCCAGTCCTCCATCAGGCCCTGCTGCAGCTTCCCGTTGTACGGTGGTGTATTTTAGTGGACAGCCACTGGACACTGCCTATTAGCCACATGCCCATAAAAGTAAGAGGGTTTCAGGGGTCTTCAGTTATTTCCAGAGCTGAATGCACAGTTCTTTCTTAACTAGTCACTAGTAAAGCTGTAGCCCAATACCCTGAATCACAGACATCCCGCTGATATACATTGACCATGCTTCTCTCCCCAGCATCCCAACAGCTCACAACTCTCCCTATTCCCACAGCCGTGTGCTTTCTTTACTTCCCTCAGGAGTTTGGACCCTGTATTTCAGCAGAAAGTACAGATGCCCCTCCTCCTCTGTTTCCATGATTTCACACAATTCGTTTGTCCTGCAGAGTGACAACATATCTGGTGTCCCTAGCATACCTTTTGTCTCAGACTTCCACAGTGTCCCAAAGTGTTTTGATGTCCCTCTTAGATACCAAGCTTTGCTATCTAAGTGGGTACTATCCCAGTGGGTGCTCCAGAAAGAAACTGCTAGGGTTGCCAGAAGGGTTCCCCTGTTCAATCCCAGGATCACCACTTAGGTGGGGTTTACTTAATGTCTGTTTCTGCTTGGATCAGGAATTCTGTGCTCCATCACCAAGGCAGACATGGAGCACTGCTGTTTCACAGGGATGCTGCTAGGAGATTTGTGCAACTATGAGCTTTCTTGATGCATTTGTTCTATTTTCAGACTTTGATTGTTGTTTGCACTTTGAGGGAGTACTAGCTGTTCTGACTTGGTTTTCTGTTTCCTCTTCCAGCAATCAACTATCCTAACCCAACAGGTAAGCAACAAGACCTTTGTATTTATATTTTGAATGTAATGCATGTTAGTCAAGTGCTCTGGCAGATCAGGCAAGCCAAACAGCTGAAATACACAGCTGACTTTGTCAAATCTTTCCCCAAAAGAGGATGAAATTGCATACACTAATGCTTCCAGTAAGTAATGCCATTTGTTGTACCTCGAGTTATTACCAGGAGATATACACCAGAGATATGCCTCCCACTCACACCTGATATCTGTGTGGCTGGATAGGCTGTGATCTTGAACCCACTCTCCTCCAACATTAGCAATCTGAATCCAGTAATGAGGTTATTAAATGTTCACCAAAATACCTGTGTTTAAGGAATGTAATATCCCCCATCCTCTTCTGTCCAGGAAAGATACTACTTGACATCTCTGCAGGCTGGTATGGAGCAGTCTCCAGCTCAGATCTGGTTCCTCTTGCAAAGTCCTTGAGCACAGTCCTTTTCTTCTCCTCCAGTGTCATCAGTGTTTACTTACTTATTTACCTTCTAGTCATTTCTGCCAAGATGAAGGCCCATCTTTACTGGGCGCCCATTGATTTTGAGAGCAGAATACACAACGTCTCAGAATGATGGTCTTTAATGATAACGTGATGGTGCCCATGGAGCATAAAAGAGGATTTCTAGCATGCTCTAAGTAGTGGTGGAGTGATCTTCAGGGACTGAAACAAAGCCCCTTTGCTTTGATTGTTGGATATAAGCCCAGGCAAAGCTCTTGGACAGAGATGGGCAGACTACTTGCTGGTGGTCCATGGGGGAAGAGGTGGTTCCATGTAGTTGTTTCTTTCTCCCTATTTCCAGCTGGTGAGTCAGCATTCAGTCTTTTTATATATTACTCTGTGTATGTGTGGGCAAGTGGTACTGCTGCACTACAGGGTAGTGGTGGGAAGGAGAAGCCAGGATTAGGCAATGGCAGCCAGGAATTGGGATATGGGGTTATCTTGTTGAGGCAGCTACAAGGTGTTCGCTCTTGCAAGTTTACATTCTGAGTGTGGTTTGATGAACGATACTCTGCCTGAGAGCAGGAGCTTCTTATAGAGTCAGAGGGATTTTGTGGCTCTAATTCCTGATTCCCTTTGCTTTGCTTTTCCCCACTTTCTGATCCTTTTAAAACATTTTCCATAGAAGACTCCCTGAGAAGCACTGAGCATATTACCAGGGACCCACTTCAGAATGTGCCCCTCAGTACTCACTGGAGGAGGCAAGCATCCCAGCCTGCAGGTTGAAGTGACCAGTCTGGTCTTCTGCCACTTGCTTTTACACTACGTAAGTCACTGGTAAAGCCAGAGAAACTTCGGTCCTAATTGTGTCAGTCTCCTGGGGTCTTTGTAAACTGAGCCTTCAGACTGCTCACCTAGGGTTGCTTTGGCAGCTTGACTGAGACCAGAACGACTGCAAGAAATTTCCCTATGGTGGAGGATAACTCAGCCACACTTGTATTTTCACGCAGTAAACCCAACACTTAGGGTTTCCCCTTGATACAAGTTACCCAGACTGTGGTAGATATTGGGACCTCTGGGCCAGTCATCAGGGTCTTGCCTGTGAGTTCACGCCTTGAGACCAACTGCCTAAAGTTGCACCCACCACACTTGCTTTCAGAGATGCCCCTTCCTTTCAGGCCTGCTGCCAGTGAAATATGAGCCCAAAGGCTCCTAGCCTTAGCTCTGTCTCTGGGCCACAGCTCGGTTCCCAGACTCTCACCCCAGTGACATGGAAATCCCTGCTACTACCTCTTAAAAGGTAAAAGGTTGGGACAGGATTTTAAAGGTATCCTCATGCTAGGCTACCCAGCCAAATTCTGGAAGCAAACACTGAGAGCTCTCAAGTGAAAGGCAAAGATTAGGTGATTAATGCCTCTGGCAGCCTGATCCAAGGGCATGCACAATGGTGATTAATTTACAAACTCTCAGAGTCACTTAATACAATTATTTCTTCATGCATTTTCTCTCTCAGCCTAATAAGATGTTAATGACATTGGGGCAGGCATGCATGTGGCATGATTGCAGAGTCAGGTACTGGGGGGCTACAAAGCAAAAGCAGAGGAGGTGAACAAAAGACACTGAGGATTTCAAATATTTAGGGATTAGCAGTAATACTGACCATATCTCTTAAAAATCAGTTAATCTGGTTCTAAAATTCAGAATTTATCTTTAAAAAACTATCTTAGAATTATCTTAATTCTAAGGTATTACCCTAAAGATCTCTTAGAATAACTGATCATTTTAACGTCATGACTAAATTCCAGTGCTGGGGCATCTGCTCTGTCCTTCTTACCTCTCCCCTGCAATTTCATTTAGCTATAACTTTCACTTTTTACCCCAAACCCTGAAGTGCTGTCTCACAAGCTATTCTAGCTCATCAGCAGTGAATGGTGTGGTTTCCCTGGTTCTAGCAGATGTACGTTTGCAACCCTGGTGATGAGGGCATTAAGAAGCATATGGGATCGCTGTTTTATTTTTTTTTCTTGGCCAGTGTGTCTTGCCCTTCCAGAGGAGCAACAAAATTTCTCATGTATCTGCCGTCTGAATGTGTGTGGTGCTAAAATGTTTTGGGATCATGGACAAGTACGGTGGGTGGTGATCAGTACCAGATGCTGGTTGTTGTAGATTACCCTGGCTCATTGCTTTCTGTCTAGAGCTTGTGTGTCCTCTCTCTGATAACACCTCATAGTCCAGAGGAATTTGAGCTTGTTGCCCTGGTGTGAACATGTGGTAATGAGATGTGAGCCTGGTGTTTAGAGTTGGATTCCTCAAAACTGTGCCCATTCCTCAGGAATGTGAGTAATGCAAAGGTTAAAAAAAGTGTCAGCCACCCATTCCTCATATCGTGATGGCAAATAGGATTGTCTGGGCCACATTATTCCCTTGTCGCAGATGGAGATACTAAAGAAGATGGCAATCCAGTATGAACCAACCAGTTATGGTATTGCGAAGCTTTCTTCTGTTACTGGTTATAAGTGCTTTAGAAATTTACCATGGAAAAGGTGGTTAAATGCTGTTTCTTACATCCCAGCGTACTTTGAGGTCACGATAATGGTTTTCGTGGTCTTCATCTTCAAGATGGGGAAACTGATCTCCTGAGAGAAAGTGATAGCCTGTGGGTCACACAGCAGGTCTGCAGCAGAACTGAGGCTCAGAGCATGGTCCTTTATGCTCCAAGACAGTTTCAGTCATCAGACCACAGATAAATGATGAAGGCAATTTTGTTCAAGTGTGCTCTATCTGCTATTCACCCATAGTCTGCAGCTAGAATAGGATTATTATTTTTTGTAGTCATCTGGCAGCCAGACTTTCAGGACCAGGGATGGATTCTCCCTAAGGACCTGAAATGAAAACCTCCATTGTGTTTCTCAAGAAGGCAAAGCAACAAGAAATGCTAATAGCCATGGCAAAGGGTCTCTCCGCTGGGAATGGAGGGAGGTGTCTGTAACAGGGAGCAAACATCTCTGCACTTTGTGCTGCTGCCACTGCAAAGCCTGCCAAGGAAATCTGTTTGGTGAAGACAGAGCTAACTCCAGCCTTTGAGGAACCAGCTCCCCTGCCACATCCACCTTGCCTCTAACAATCCAGAGAACAACTTCTGTGTTCAATATTTAAATCCACTGTTTAATTTTTAAACAGGAAATTTCCTCTGTGCCACAGTGCTGAGCCAGGATCCCTGGCAGATGGTGTGAGTCTGCAAGAAGGTTTGCTTCACACAGCCAAGGTCAACAGTTGGATCACTGCTGTGGCCTCTGAGACACAGCATGTCATTTAAAGGTTTTCTTTTCAGCTGGATCTGCCAGGTTTCTCCTGGTAAGCCTTGCTGATAACCGTCCAGAGGTGGTGTGCAGGCAGTGTCCCAAACCACACCAAACATCTCCTAGTTATTATGGGCACCTCCACTTCTAGCTCGGAGAAACACCAGAGCTTTGCCTTCCTGTGGCTTGTTTTAAACCAGAGGACCAGGAGTCAGAGCACTTGGGTTCTGTTTCCAGCTTTAGCACTGCCTGCTGTGACCTTAAACATGTGTCTCTATACTTTTCTTCATCTGTTTCCCCACATGTAATGCAGGAGATATATAGAAATAAGCATCGCTACCTCACAGAGATGTTAAAAAGGCTTGTTCATTAGTTGTTGCAAAGTGCCTTGAGATCCCAAGCTAAGCAAAGGCAATGTGCTGTAGTTATAAACTCCTGCACAGCAAATGGTGTTGCACGTAAGCTTGCTCATGTTGTGCTATCTGTGGTGCATAGGGCCCTTCTCTAGTTTATGCTCTCTGGTAGAATTGTTGCCTTCTGGAAGTAGCTGCATCTGAGTGAGAGGATGGAGTCAGGGCCCTGTTTTGGCTTTAAATGAGCTCTCTTCCAAGTTTCAAGTCTTCTCTGATCAGTCTCATTCCACAAGTGTGTGTGTGGCTTCTTACAAATGAGGCACAGTAGTCCATCAGCTGGCACGACCAGGCCTTGGCACTAAGCTGGGAATAATGTCCTCAGTCCTCTTGTTTGGCACAGCTTGCTCTGATCTCCACCTGACCTTGGACTTTCTCATTAATCTGCCTCTCCTTTGGTTTCTGTGCCTTGTCCTTTGTGGGTTTGCTCCCTCTCAATCAGTTCCCTGGCTGGTCTCTGTGTTACAGCTTTCAGCTCTGCTTTCCACCTGAGATTCCATGCTAAGAGAATTTTGTCCTGGTGAAAGATGTCACCTTTCTCCTCTGAAGGTCCACGTGTACAGCATCCCGGTTCTTTTGATTGCAAAATGACAGTCTTGGTGGGTCCTGTCCATGGGTAGGATAATGCCATTGTAAGAGAAAATTTGTCTTCTAGCTGCAGCTGGCAACATGTGAGCAGGAGCCGTACAAATGTTTGCCTTCGGTCTGATGGAGAGAAGGCAGGGGTGTTAGACCAACCCACCAATATCAGAAAGCTTGTGGGCTCCACCCCTTCTCTGAGGACCAGTAGGTATCTGGTACAGCTGTGAACTCCCTTCTTTCAGCCACGAGGGCTGGGAAAGGACCCTTAGAAGCTGCTTTCTTACCCTTTTCCCCCTCCATCTCCTTGTGCTGGGGATGGAAGTGGCCCTGCCTCAGACCCCTGTTGTTCGCCCCCAGCTCCTCCTTCCTCCTTTAGCTCCAGCTGCCATGTGGCCCCATGTGGCACTATGGAGCAGTGGCTAATTTGGATTAGGATGCTAATTAGAAATGAGCGGATTGAACAGAAAGCACTTAGCCAGGGATAATCAGAAGCTGAGCGGCCAGCCCCGCCGAGCTCCTGATGGCTGTGTTCAGCTCGCAGGAACGGCGTTTCCCACTGACCTTACAGAAAATCCAGCTGCTCCAGTCTGCCAACCAAGCCCTTGGCTTGCAGCTCAGTGCCCAACCTGTGGTGGCACAAGACCTTTTTGTGGGCCACAGCAGGAGGCTACCTCCTCTTTTCTCACTATTCTGGTGGGATGCTGGAGAGAGATGGGCAAGAAGGGGGAATCAGTTTCCCTACCACAGGGTAGACAGGCTTTTGATGTCTGTTTGGATGATGATTGTTTTCATTTCTAAATAGGAGGGGATGGCAAGGTCCATAGCTGCAAGGTAGGAACCCAGAGGTGCAGCATCTCAAGAGTCAAGATGGTGTTCATTTCATGGGTAGTCCCTCCTATCTAGTGCAAGATGGCAGATTTTAGTGTGCATGGTAGGTGTATGAAGCTCCTACCATCACAACATACCATGTCTGGAGCTTTTGGTCCTGACATTGCAGAAAGCTTCTCTTACCCATCCCATCCTTGGCACCCAGCTGACCCTGCTCTGCCCTACATGTCCTGCCAGAGTCACCCACACTAGGACAGAGACCCTCCTGTCCAGGAACCAGAGCAAACCACCACTGAAGATACAGGAATATAGGAGCACAAGTAGGCATTTGGGCTTCTTTTCATCTGGGCATGATAACAGGAACAGTGTCAGGTAAACCCCAAAAAGTTGTCTTGCACCAGCATACCATGGATGAGATTTCTAGCATGTCCCAAGCCCTTAGGAAGACCCTTATTTTCCTTTCTGTATGTGTTATTTCATGGCTTTTAAGTACTTTGTCTTTCAGTTTCATAGCACACCTCACTCTTACATAAAGGCAGAAGGTGAAGAGATTTGTGCTCACTGTGTCTGCACCACTAGTGAGGTCTGAGATCCCACTCTCAGCCCATTCTCTAGCTCCGGTTTCTGCCCAGGGACCTTTCAGAACAGAGAGCAATTTTCACATCGGGTCTTGTACCTGTTTTCTCTTTCTCTTCTGCCTGTCTTCTCCATCCCTCTCATACTGTGTCAGCTGGTTCTTGGCTTTTGTTTCTGTGTCTCAGGAACTACCTTTTTACCACAAAAGTTACCACCTTCAGCCTGATCATGTCCAATTCATTTCAATCTCTGCAAGTCCATATTGGGTTATATCTATGCACAAGATTTTTCACCTGTCTTACAATATTGCTGTAGGGTGTGACTGTCTTGTGGTAGTAATAAAACCAAGCCCTATTGCACATGTGGCTGATCCTACATAAAAATCTTTTACGTATGTGACTTATTTTGTTAGGGGAACCAGCATAAGCTGCAATATCAAATGTGCCTTTTAGCTGGCATAAATTGGATGTACTCTAGCTAGATGACACATTTGTAGCACTGATCTGACCTCTTCTCCACAACTGTTTTTTTTTAATGTGTGCCATAGTTTAGTTTAATATATAGCCCAGAGGGGGGTCATCTGCTGGTGCTTATTCTTCTCTCCTGGGGAAATTATTCTACCATCAAGTTGTTCTGGTTTAAAAGCCCTTGTGGCCTGTTTGCCTTCAATGCTCTTTTTACCCTCCTCTATGTTTGCCCCCACCAGACCTCCCAGCAGAGTCTCTCTCTCTCTTCAGCCCTAATAGCCTTCTTCCATTTCACCAGACCATCACATCCATCAACCTGGATTAATCCTTCCATAATCATACTAATCACAGATACATTCCTTTTCAGCCTCCTCCTGAGGCTGGGGGCTGCCCACCTGTCCCCAGCTTGATGCGGAGCCTCAGTGGTGACATAGCAGTGCTGTGAGACTTGCTGCAAGCACCCGGGCAGCCCTGGGGAGGAGGTTTGAAAAGCAGCAGCTGACCAGCCCCTTCCCTTCCCTGCAGATAACACTTGTCGCTTTGAGGACGAGAAGATCTGCGGCTTCATGCAGGACAAGATGGACAACTTTGACTGGACCCGGCAGAATGCCCTGACCCAGAACCCCAAACGCACAGTCAACACGGGGCCCCCCACGGACATCAGTGGTACGCCGGAGGGTAGGCACACGTCTGGGTTTCTTTTGGCTTGACTGTGGAGGCAAGACGTGCCCCGTCCCTTGTCAGGAGGAGTCCTGCAGCTCTGGGAGCTGGTGGAGTGCTGATCTGCTTTCCACACAACACTCTTCTCTTCCACACAGGGTGCAGGGAGCAGGCAGTTAATTTGCACGTTACTGATTGGCATTAAACACACAACTAAAACACCCACGACTTTGTTGAAGGAAATAGGGTGAGCATTAGTTCTTGTTATCAGCTAATTGCCTGCCACCTAATGCCCTTGTCCCATTTGATGCTTGTTTTGAAGTAAAAAAAAGGATAAACGAGTAGGAGAACGTCTCTAACACCTAGAAATGGCCCTGCTGTTTTTAGCCAGCTGTTTCCTCAAAGAAGGTCTGAGGAGGCAAACAGATCTCCTTAGTACCAAGCGGGAGCATGAGAGACCAGGCAGGAGCTGCCTGCAAGAGGGCAGCAGGTGCCTGACCTCTAGCTGGAGGAGACTGGTGTTGTATATTGCTCATGCTAGCTGTGCATGGTGTACACGCTCCCGTTTTAGCTGGATATTACTTTCCTCTCTCTTTAATGAGGAAAGTACATTTGTATGCAAGCACAAATCTTTGAACTCAGAAAAAATGGGAAAGATCCAATGGCCAGCTATGGAAACGACTTTTCCCATTAGTGTTCAGTACACCAGCCTGATCGAGCATTGAAAACAATGCCAACAAATTAAATAGCTAATCTGTTCCTCCCTGGGTTGTTAACAACTACTTTGGTATTGTTCTCTTTAGACAACAATATTGTTTAGGCCAGATACAGCGAATCATCTCTCCTTCTTGAGGCAGAGAAATTAGTCTGGAATAGTTTCTCCCTCCTCTTTCTGGTTCTCCCCTTACACAGTGCAGTCAGCTCTGGGGCTCCTCGTGCTGCCAGAGAAAGGTTCATTTTGCACCCCGACAGATGTGTGTGTGCATGTTCAGGGACTCATCTGCTGCCGGCACTCACAGTGGGTCTGCTGATGCCCATCTCTCCTGCTCTCCCCTAAAAACTGCAGAGGCAGGGGAGGCACTGTGGGCATCCTGCACGTGTCTCTGTCCAGGATGACAGTGGGTGCAGAGCGGGTGGGAAGAGCAAGGCCATGTCTCTCAGAGGAGGATTTGTCTCCCAGCCTCTGGCATCCCATAGCTTGCAGGAAGGGAGACCCAGTGCCCTTTTCCCACCTTTCCCTCTCATTCTGTAGGTTATTACATGTTCATCGAGGCGTCCCGGCCCCGGGTGACGGGAGACAAAGCCCGGCTCATCAGTCCCCTCTACAACATTACTGCCAAGTATTACTGCGTCTCTTTCTACTACCACATGTATGGGAAGCACATCGGTGAGTACCCCCTGGGGAAGGGTAATCCCAGCCTAGTGTGGGCTGTTGGGGAAGATCTCCAGCCTCTTGCTCCGCCAGCTGTGCCTGTGGCCGGCGAGGATGGGAGGATGGGAGTCTTACTCCAGGGCTCAAAGTGCCAGGGTGGGCTGCTGTTTCCAGATACTTGTCCCTTACCCACACCCCAGCAGTGTCAGGATTGTGAGGCTGTTGCAGCCCATCCTTGGGGTAGTATCATGCATTCAGCCATCACCTCTTCCCCACTGGCTTGCCTCTCCTCTATCATAAGGCTCCCTACCCTCCACAAAAAAAAAAAAAAAACAAAAAACAAAAAAAAACAAAAAACATTTTACCCATGTGCACACATTTTCCCTGCTCACAGCCAGGCAGCAGGACGCCAGGTGAACAGTCTGTCCATCGGAGAGGAGACAGAGGTGAAGGAGCTTTGTGAAGACCAGAGGGCTCTGTGGCAGCCATAGCTATTTTGGGGTGGGCAGGATGCACGTTCCCTCAGCTGTGCCAAGGGGCTGTCTGTTCCAACTGACTGCCTCCTCTCTAACTGTAAGCCTACGAGTGCAGCGAGCACCCCAGAAGTGCTTGGCACACTAATGAGTTTCCATATCCAGTCAAGGAGCAATTGCTAATTCGTCACCTCTTGATTATAATTTCATTAATTTGAATAATAGATGCACTCTTCCCACAGCACGCTGGGTTATTAATCACCTGCTGGACTGGAGCCTGACTGAAAAATCAGGGCCCAGGCAGGAGTGTGTCCGCCCTTCAATAAACAGGGTTAATTAACAGCTCTCTGCTCAGCACCGTTGATGTCATTGGGAGGGAACATGCTCCTCAGCCTGGCCACCACATCTTGGCGTGCACATGGCATGGCAGAGAGGTTAAGCTGCAAAAACTGAGATCTCCTTCTCTCAGTAGGGGCGAGGCTGAAACCCTGACCCCATGGGTACTGGAGGGTAAGGGCTGAGCTGCAGTTCACTGAGCAGGTCTCCATCTCTGTCTTTGCTCTGAGGGCTCTTATTTGCTGTCTGGCTAGGTTGGAGGTGTTTGCACGCACCTGTATTCCCCTTGCAGACAGGCTGCTCTGTGCTGTCTTCACATCATGGGTGGCAGGTTGCTCAAGCAGAGCACGGTCAGTGTTGGTTGACACCAGGTTTTCCTGGACCTGCTGGTCTTGCTTAGCTGACAGTCCAGCTGCTAATGCTGGCTGGCAAACTCCTTTGTTCCCTGCAGTTTTCCGCTGTGGTCAGTCAGCCTTGCTGCCTAACTCCTGCACGTCTACTGGTGACTTTGAAAGGGATCTCATTCTTTGTGATTGCAATGAAGGGTGGCCCAGACCAGTGGGAGACTGGCAAGGAAAGAAGATGTGGAGGGAGGAGGCTTCACTTGCTTTGTTTCTTTTATAAATGCATTCACGTGTCATACTTCTGAGTTCATTTCACAACAAAACGAAAAGCTGATTAGCTTTTGCTTCCTTTTGGAAGAGAGCTCTGTTTTACAGCTCTCATGTGGTGGTCTGCCTGAAGATGGGGTGGATTGGACATGCCAAGAAACCATTTCATTACAAGTTTTTGGCTTTTAGCATTTTAACTTTTTATTAATTTGTTCCACCCACAAATTGCCAAGAGCAAAAGATACAGTGACTCCCAAGACCTAAGAAAGCCACTGAGTGCCATTTTCTATTCCTCAGCTTCAAGTGCCTTTTATATCTGTTGCTTTTTCCCTTCATATTCAATGTTGCTGCCCCTGCCTGCTCCCCATTTTCCCCTTGTTGCACAAAGAGGCTGATAAATTTAAGCAAGGCAGATAGACTCTTCAATGCTGTATGATGATTTCTAGGGTGGGTGCTGCTGAGCTGAGAGCGAATAAATTATTTTAAAATTAGACTGCCTAGATAGAGTCAGAGAATGAAAGAGAAAGAAATGAGAAAAAGTTCTTTTTCTGTTGGCCTGTGGAATATGTGGCTCAGTCTGGTGAACCCCCAATATATCTGTCTGCAAATTGAAATTCAGTACCTTGTATCTGCTCTCTGCTCTGGAGTTTCTTTCAGGGCCAGTCATGATATTCTGTAATCATCTTGGCTTCTCTTCTACATGTCAAGGCACCAGGGTGAAACTGAGACCTCTCTAGGAAAAATCAGAATGCCTAGTAATCCCAAAATTGTCTGGTTTTCATCATTCCCACTAACTCTTACGCTACTTGGTCTTTTTCCTTACTGCCACGCTGGCATAAGCTGTCCTCATCCCCACACATGCATGAGGGAACCCACGTTTGGAACACACAGGTCTGATGGCTCAATCTGCATTTTTAGTGCTCATTTTTAGTGGCTGGTTTTGTTCATGCGGAGGTTGTAAAACCCTGCCAGAAAGCTTTTGCTTGTTTGGATGGTGCCAGGCTCAATGCCCTTGGTGGCTGAAGTCCTCTCAGAGTCCCCTGCGGAAGTGACAGCCTGCCTGAGGGCAAAACAAGCTTCTTCATCTCTTCTTTAGATCTGTGTTGGAGGACAGTGACCCCTTTCAGATACAGGGCTCCTCGCTAGGACTTCTGTCAGATGAGGAGGCAGACCATGGCCTCCTACCTGTATCACATACACAACAATATGAAGGTGAAGATGAAGTGGGTACAACCCTGGGCCATGTCTTGCTTCCCATATAGCCAGCTATCCCCGATGCCTGCAGAGACGGCCCCAGCCCCTGGCTCCCCTGGAGCCAGCCCAGCCCTGCCAAGCCAGATGCCAGCCCTGCTGAGCCGGCCACAGCACTTAGCAAGAGCATATCAGGTTGCTCCTGTTGGCAGACAGTGCCAGCGAGAGGACATCTCCCAGCCCAAGCCTCTCCCAGCAGCTCCAGCTCCATCATGGAGCAAACCAAAGCTCTGTCACTATGAAAAGAAGCCATATAAAATACCGACATTTATTTATTTTTTTTAATAACCCTTTTATTACCTTTTTCCCCCCTCTACAGAACTTGAAAGCTGGTTTACTCTCACAATTTGACTATAAAATATCCATAGCCATCCAGGCAAATCTTCCCTGGGAGAGTTCCCAGACACTACTCGTTTATAATAGATATGACGAAAGAGAGAAACAGAATACAAATGGAGCGTTTGTAGCCATGGTATAAAATATTCAACGACTAGCAGAGCAGGATGATGCTGAATATCTCTCAGCTGATGAGAGAGCAGGGTGAAGGGGAGCTCCCCAGAGGCAATTCCTGTTCTTCTGGAGTTATTTGGTCATCGGTTTTCCTTCCTCCGGCCCCCTCCAGAGCAAGCATTCACATTACCCTACAATCCTGCCAGCCTAAACACAAAGAATCAGGGAGAGGGGAAGGAAAGAAATCCTGTTTCCACCAGGCATTCAAGAATGAGGGTGTCTTGCTTGTGGCAAGCACAGATATATCAAATGAGGTATTGCTTGCTTTCTCCAGGAGAGGAAGCTAGCCACAGCAGGCAGCAACCAGTCGCCAAGTTCAAAAAGCCTCTTTATCAAGTTGGCTTGGTGAGTCAGCATCGCAGCCGGCAGCAGATCCTCAAGTCCTTGCTTCAGCCATCAGACTCCTCTTCCCACGGGCTGCCTGGGAGGGGGATGCTTTGAGGGGACAGTGTCCCCAGCAGACTGCTCCCACCGCAGTCCCCTGCCACCTCTCTCTGACACCTCCTAGCTCAGTGGTATCCAGGTTTATGATCTGCACAGACTCCTGCCCACTGCTGGCTGCTGCCACAGACCCTGCAGCAAGAGAGGCCTTCAGGGTCAGACCCTGGGAGAACGGTTGCTCAGAGGGACAACAAAATTTCAGCCACAGAGTATTTAACGTTTTGCGTTGCCATTGTGGTCCCCATGGCACACAGTGATGGTTAATGCTATAGCTCCCTGACACATGAGCCAGTGACTGTGCTCATGGGGAAAACACTTGTGTCAAAGAGTTCATTTGCTCACAGGGATACCTACATGCAAGTGATGTAGGATGTACCCAAACAGCACTTCTTTAGCCTCCTTCTGATTTGTGAGCTTACTGGTAGACCCTTTGCAAACTGTGTTTTTAATAGCGGTAGTCACTACACACAAATTTATGATGAGATATGGCCTCAGAGAGGGGAGAAGGCAAAGACCCCTCCTTGCCCTGGAGTACCTCCCGAGATGGGACTGTTCAGCTGCTTCCTGTAGTGAAACAGGCAAGTCCTGGGCTTCAAGAGCCAATCCTGGTTGAATGCAATGTCTGAAGACCCTGCTCATGGCTTACAATTTTTGTACTTTGAGCCTCCTTTCTGCACTAGCAGTGTCGTAGTCTTACCTTGGCCAGTTCCTCTCCCAGAAGTCAGGGAACAGGCTTATTTTCTGGCACAGTATCTGTGAAACTCATGGAGAATTAAAGGTGCTGTTGTTCCAGCTTAGTGCTGACACAGACCTTATCTGACCACCTATGTATAGGTAGCCTACGTATAATCAGGATGGGAAGCTTCCAATTAAATTGTAAACTACTCATTGCTCCCTACAGCTTCTTGAGGAGGGAAGTGGAGAGACAGGTGCTGATTTCTTCTCCCTGGTATCCAGTGACAGGGTGCGTGGGAATGATTCAAAGCTGCATCAGGGAAGGTTCACACTAGATATTAGGAAACACTTATTTTCTGAGAAAGTGGTCAGACACTGGAACAGGCTTCCTAGAGGAGTGATCAAAGTGGTCAGGCAGTTGGACTAGATGACGTTTGTTGGTCTCTTCCAATCAAACTATTCTATTATTTTCTATTCTATTTCTATTATATTCTAAGCTACTGTGAAGAGCAGTGCTTGGGATTGATTAAGAGGAATTTTGGTTTTGAGTCACTAGAAACAATGAGACTTGATCAGATCACTTGCCACAGCATCCAAGTTCAAGAAAACCATAAGCTGTTTCACAGAGGTAATTGAGTTGCAGGCAGGCCACTTACACTGGTGGTGTCACCACTGACACCCTCCTGCTGAGTAGAAAACACACAACTGGAAGGCCTGC